ATTCTGATTCTGATTCTGATACCCTGTGAATCGAGCGAGAGACAGAAGCCCTGTTTCCAGCTTATTAAAGTGTTTTCTGTGATCCCTGAAATGAGTTTTTGCACAGTAGGATGTCTGTCATATAGTTAAAGCCAATTACTGTAGTGCATTAATACTGTGAAAAGTTATCAAAATGTCTGTATAAACATGCCTTTTGAAAGAATACATTTTTTACTGAACATATCTTGTCATTTAGCAATGAAATTGAATTTCATCTCTACAGATTGGGAATCATTGCATCCCTTAAAGCCTGTTCACATCAATGATAATACAAAATAACAATAACAAAGTTTTAATATAGTTTTTAATAATTATTATAACGATAACCACATAAAGGAACGGTATTGTTGGAATCAGAGGGATTTTTCCACTGAGATCAGAGTGCATCAGACTTTAAAGAGCTGGAGTGTTTAGAGCAGCAGACGACAAACCTGCAGACTGATGGACGAACGCCGCTCGTTCTTCAACACACCTGCTGCACGTTTGCAGTGAATAACATTCAGAGTGCTTTCCAGTGTACTTCCAGTCTGACCAGTTAAAGACAAACTGAAGTGTGCACTTGTGAGACTAGGCTTTGTGCTGGCAGAAGAACCATTTTCATGCAGATTTCTTCCACTGAGGCTTGAGATGCATGACCAAAAGCTCAAATCTTACTAATTGTCATATGCTTATCACAGAATAGACAAAAAAAACATTGGTTCGATATAGAGTAAATGATCATCCCTGGTGTGAAAATCACCAGAGGAATTAATTATTTATATTATTGTTTGCACTTAACATTTGTGTTTGATGTGAGAGTCTTTAGAGTCGCATCTGCCAGTCAATCATTCAAATAAATGCCACATTTTCTACATTAAAACCCCATAATAAAAGCAATCATGGTTGTGCATCTGAAGGCCAGCTGTGAAAATTAAGATTTAAAAGCATTTTCAATGAAAAGAACAAAGTTGCATGTTATGATCTACACTATATATCCCAGCCGGCAGAATTTTCTATTTAGAATAGTTGCCAGCGATCGTCTGAAGATGAAGATGATGGACTCTGACACAAACACAACCAACCTGCAGCGAGCGAATGCGTCTGCATGACTGGACTCTGCTCCGGGTTACAGGTGACCGCCATCAAAACCATCTCAACACTCAAATCAAAATATCACAAATAAACTAACTGGGATTGAACAAATTAAGCATCTCTGTCTGTGTGCTCCCACACTATACCTTTCATTTTAGGCAGTTTGGGAAGTTATATAAAACAAAAAATATTACTAAATATATGATCATCCCTGGTGTGAAAATCACCAGAGGAATTAATTATTTCTATTCTTGTTTGCACTTAACATTTGTGTTTGATGTGAGTCTTTAGAGTCGCATCTGCCAGTCAATCATTCAAATAAATGCCACATTTTCTACATTAAAACCCCATAATAAAAGCAATCATGGTTGTGCATCTGAAGGCCAGCTGTGAAAATTAAGATTTAAAAGCATTTTCAATGAAAAGAACAAAGTTGCATGTTATGATCTACACTATATATCCCAGCCGGCAGAATTTTCTATTTAGAATAGTTGCCAGCGATCGTCTGAAGATGAAGATGATGGACTCTGACACAAACACAACCAACCTGCAGCGAGCGAATGCGTCTGCATGACTGGACTCTGCTCCGGGTTACAGGTGACCGCCATCAAAACCATCTCAACACTCAAATCAAAATATCACAAATAAACTAACTGGGATTGAACAAATTAAGCATCTCTGTCTGTGTGCTCCCACACTATACCTTTCATTTTAGGCAGTTTGGGAAGTTATATAAAACAAAAAATATTACTAAATATATATATAACACTTAAACTTTTCTCTTTTTTCCAAAATTTATTTTTCTTTTTTCTATTTTCAAAGTATATCTCATTTTATGAACATTAAACATTCAGATGTTATGATATCATGTTAACAGTCAGACTACATGGAATATTAGTTCTTGTGAAAATCTGTCAAACTGAAACGCATTGTGAGAGAACCAGCACTATCAGACAGCAGGTTTCGCTGTGCTGTCAGAGAAACATTCATTATTCACAGACACCTTCATCAGCGCGCTCCCGCGACGGCACAGGTACACCGACACGGGCGCGCGCGAGGCCAGCTCCATCACGATCACGAGCAGACACCGAATAACGACTGACGACAGCAGAACCGTTTGATATTTCCTCTGCAGTTAAACCGAGACATAACGCTGATGTCATGAACGGCGCGGGCGTCGGGTTGGTGTGCGCGCGATACTCACCGGATTCGGGAAAAACAGGTCTCTAACGAGATGAAAAAGCACCGTGTGACGCGAGAAGATGCCGTTCGTTACCTCGTCCTGCGGATTCGTTCTCTGGCTTTGCTGCTCTTTGGTGGCCGTCATGATTCCGCTTCAGATGCCGCTGAGAAATCCCAAAAACCCCGGTGTGTCGCCGCTAGCGATGTTTTTCATTCCACCGCAGCGCGAGCGATCTGATTCTGATTCTGATTCTGATCGATCTGAACGGTGCTCTGACTCTAAACCGCTGCGAACGAGGGACGGAGAATGATGCTGCGCTCGAGGGGCGGGAGGGTGACGCGCGATCCCGACACAACCGACGGAACGACAGACAGACAGACAGACAGACAGATAGACAGACTGATAGACAGAACGACTGATAGACAGACAGACTGATAGACAGACAGACTGATAGACAGATAGACAGACTGATAG